TTCGTATAATAATATATTTTACGGAGTTTTAAATCTGACTGTTTTTATACGTGTTATTTAATTGTTGGTTTTTGGGTTATTTACAATCAAGCTAAAAATAAGAGGTTTTGATGACAAGATCCGCTCTTTTACAAGCTTTTGAACTGTACCAAAAAGTCAACATGACCAAATATGGCATATACAAGGTTTCAAGCTGTCACCCACGATATTGAAGATGAACATGAGCAGGATTCACTGTACTTACAGTAACTGTATAAGAAATGGTAGTAATTTATATATAGTATGTTTTAAAGCTGTTGTTTCTTCTGCTAACCAGGAACCTATTACTCTGATACTTGCTGTTACTAATGGATCTAACCACTGAAATACAAAATTATGTCCTTCTTTTCTGATTCTCTTAGGGCCAATCAACATATTACGATGTCATACAAAATGCACTGAGAGATATTTTGCCTTGAATTATCGACAAAAAAATTGTTTAACAATGAAAATTCTAAAATTCCTCAGATTAAGTATGAATACCTTCATTGAATAGAGCATTTGTTTGGTTAAATATTAAATGAAACAGGACGGGAGATGTATGACAATTTTGTCAGATCATGGTTGACAAGGGGAATCACTCACAGACAAAAAACGCAAGACATAATAACTTAAATTCACCTTTTTATTTCGTTGAGTAGAGATTTCATCTAGAAAGAACAATACTGCATTAAAGGCTCCCACCATAGAGGCGTGTACTTGTAACACCTGTTTTTCTTCAAATCCCATTGGTTGACCTGTGGTCATGTGACTTATTATGTTCTCTAATAACAAATAACATGAACATAACAGACATGTCTTTTCTTTCATCTGAAAATAGTACATTTGTACGTATGTACTGCAAATAATAAAGATCAATAAAAAAAGCACAAAAATTTAACTTTTATTTCTACGTCCATGCACCTTATTGAGCTAATGAGGATGATGAAGAACATCATGCAGTGTGCAATCAGAAAAATTGATGAAATAGCGGCATTAACCTACTCTATTTTTTGTCATGAGACCTTAGATGATTATTCCTTCTTACAACTAATGATTTTTTCCATGTCAACTCTTCGACCTTCATCATTGGCACTACATGCATCTCCAACTGTACCACAATCGAACCCTGACCCCCAGGTTAGCGAAACATCACTGAGCCACTCCATTGACATACGAAAATATATGTTTACTAATCTTATTTAAAACGTAATTTCTCACCTCCTGCCATGTTGAATTTTCTAGAATCATTCTTACTTCTATACAGACAAGATGTGTGATAATCAAGACTACTTTACAGTCAGACGCAAAGGGAGATAATAAACAAGATAAAGTGAATTTGTTCACCAATTCAGATATTAACAGAAGTAAACACTGTCTTTGCTCTACACCTACAAAAAAATGATAAAAGTTAAAAAAAACTTTATTACTGGTGTAAGAGATTGTAAAGAGGTTTTCTACATTTTCTAAATTGGCGACCATTTGCACCGTTCCAATTTTCAATTCTAGTAAAACTAAGAGTCACTAATTGCAAAATATGCTTTATCACATAAGGCCCTTTGCAATTAGTGATGTCATTCAACACTTAGTTTTATTGGAGTTGCAGGAACTACAGACATCTGATTTGAAATTGAAATGGTACAAATTGATACTATCAGTGTTCTAAAAATTTATAAAACCTCTTTACAATCCTTAAAATATCTTCTTTACCGATGATCAGATCAACTGCAACTACACTTTTCATTTTCAAAATCTGGCATTCAGTTCTTCTACAATTCAACACAAAAAATACCATAGAAGATAAGCCTGCTGGAGTTTTCAGTATGTTATTGAGCGACTCATGTGTATATATTTGGCCTATAACTGTCAATAACAGTACTGCAGCTACAAACAGAAGTTTCAGTCTGTACTTATCCAAAATGTTTCTTACCTAATTTGTTTTTTATATCTGAAGATAAAACTGTTATTAAATCTTTTAACCATTGTTTATCATTGTTACTATCTACTGTTTCCTACAAACAATATACATTTTGTTAGAGACTTCATTTTGCAGGGGTTTTTCAAGCAATATCAGTAAATTTATACTGAAAGGAGCTGAAAATTTCAGTTCACATTGTTGACTAAAGACAAAATTATCATGTATCGGGTGTATATATACACACATCGTGCCCAAACCACGTCCCCATTCGTCATACTTCCTTCCTCAAGACCGTGGTAATACAAGTGAGAGAAATTACGTATTCATAGATAAATATTGTCCAATGGCTAAAATTGGCCCTGCTAACTAGCTAGTAAAATATCAGCCAATCAAAACAAAAGACTTGTTATGACGCTTTGTTTGAGAACGTAAACAAAACGAAAGCAGCATATCATTAAATGTTTTGATTAATATATACCGTACAGAATTGAGTAAGATTTTCAGTAAAGAATTGAAGCCAAGAGAAAATCAAACCTAATTTTGGAATATTTACTTGGAAAGAAAATGGACGGGGGCAAAGCGACATTGTGTTTTGTTTACATGATCCGGACTCATTTCTGTTCTACCGATCTGATAGGTCAGATTTCAAAAGCACCCTCCTCATGCCCACAAAACGAAGTGTATAAGGCTTAGTTTAATCCGACCATATCAACACCTGTTTTTGTAATAGGATGACAAACGTATTGAAAATGATCAGTTAAATATATGTAGTTACCTTTTCTAATGTTGAGATAAAACTAACTAAATTCTTACAAACATCAAACTTTGTACTGTCCTAAAACATAAACAGAGGAAAAACAGTTAAATTTAACAATATAAGGCATATACTTATCTATATACAGCGTATTAGCTGAGCTCAATATAGGCTATAAGCATCACATATTGAAGCAATTTTGTTAAAACGTCAAAATGGGCCCTGGCTTTAACATTCCCCTATCTAATCTACAAATGTCTTGAATTATATACAACGGATAAACCAGTAATTTTACATAGAAAATATTCTGTTCCCAGTAAAAAGCGTGCGTATATCGGGGTTCTGGTTTATTGGCAGACGGATCAACGCCCTAGTATAAAAATTTAAAACCTTTTATTGTTTACCTTTTTATGGATATATTGAGATGATAGATAACTTATAAGTTTATTGCAAGCAGATTTTTGGTTGTTCCACATACTGTTACCATGACTACCAGCCAAGATGAGAAGTATCTCTAGGGCTTGGTTATCTCCCTCTATTTGATCTATTACCACCTCTACTAGACAAGATACAGTGTTACTTTGTATCAGATATAATTGACCTTGTTGACAACAAGCTAGTCCATAGAGACATTGGTAACAATCCTTCAAAATGGCTGTATCTACTTCATTTTCTTCACTTCTGAAACACAAAGGAATTCTTTGGTCGAAAAAAATTAAAATGGAATCAAAAATGTGCAGCCTAGCTCTTTTCAACAGGCATGTTTTTTTCAATATTCGTAGTAGGCCTGAGTATTGATTACAAAATTGAGATCGATTATCAATGGCAGACTACCGATCAATAATCGAAATAATTCAACTGAGAAACCCTGTTAAAATGAAATTAAAAACATGCCAAAATTATTAAGTTCATGGGTTATTTTTGTGTCTTAGAAGTATATTCTTGCTTTGATAGGTTTTTATAGTTTATTGCGGGTATGTTATATGCTGAAAGGAACATATGTGGAAGAAATTACTACTTGCTACAGTTGAGACAATGTAATTTTGACATTTGATTGATTAAGAAATTTGATAATCGAAATTTATACATTTGTAGTGACGATAATCGATTATTTCGATCATTTTACCCAGACCTCATTCCTAGGACTTTTAATGGAATCTTTTGAAAGTGGCAATGTCATGAAGTGTTCAATGAAGTGTTATTTTCCAGAATCAAACTGACTAGCAAGCAAGCCTCCAACCCATAGGTATCAACCCATTGACACTAAAATCATCAGGTTTTATGTATTTCTAATATGAGACAACTAAACTAATTCAACAATGCAACACGGATATGCTACGGTACTCACCTGGGTGGTGATATGATCAATTCATTGAGAGCTGAGACTTGACCTTTAATTTCTGGTAGAGAAGCCTAAAAATCATAGAATAAAAATTACCATAATGAGTCAATATTTTCCATGTTCACTTCTTGTTTCTGTACCATGCTTTTATGCTGTAATATACCGGTTCCCCAAAAAGCTGTCCTGGTGAGATTTTTGTCCTACTGAGATACATTTAGGCAGTATAAGAAAAGCTCTTTCGATAAGATCTTCCAAAATCGGATTTCATTTCTTTTTGAAAAAAGTCGCCTTCCTCCAATATATATCTTAAAGGGACAGATGCCATTTTTTCTCACCGATTGTTACGATATTGAATCTTCAGTGGATGGCTTGCGGTATACGAATGCCTTTGTTGAATCCTCACCTATTGTTTATATAGCCAATCATTGATTAGTTCAATTGTCGTTATCCCTATGGGTCAATTAACATACATGCCGCCATTATGTAAACAATCAACGCATGTCTAAATCTTTATTGAATACTCAAATAAACCACTCAAAACACCGATCATACTTTAGTCTCAGAAACCAGAATTTTTTAGCTAAGCCAATCAGTAATAGTGTTCAAAGCTCACCGTCGAAATTTGAGACTTCAAATCCATGTGTGTCCAGAATTATCCGCTATTAATGTTAAAATTACTTACCACAACAGGGTCTGTGCATATTGTGGATAAGATACTGAGTGCTAATGATTTATACATAGTAGGTGGACAGCCTTCAGGTACATTACTAGATCTTAGCAGACGTGTTAAAAACTTCAAGCCTATAGCATCAGCTAACTCTTGTTTCATGGTGGAATCACAGTTTTCAGCTTTTATAACTTTTGTTACCTGAAGCAGTAAGTTTGTCATTTTAAACATCAATAATTTAGCGTCTAGTGAATGAGGGAACTTTTCCAGGACTTGTACATTAGCTTCTTTCTTTAAAGTTTTAATAGGAAATGCTATTGAAGGGGCCTTATCTCATGCAAAAGACAACAGTACACCCTTTTTAAAAAACAGTGCCGCCTAAGACTAGCAAGAATCATCAAAATTCTTATTCCTTGGCATCAGACCTCATCCTGAACTCCTGGACTGCTTTCTCTTAGCATGATTGAAGAGTAAAATTATCCTGTGCCTCATTCTAATGTTTTAACTGAGATATAGAACTTGATGATTTTCTCAGAGCCAATGGTCGGCAAAATATTTGATGTGCACGCGTGTAGTAACGTTCACTGGTAAATGCTGAAAAAGAATTGATAAGCTTCTAAAAAGCCAACAAACCATCATAATTCCAGCAAATTTTTCATTATCTGATGTCGCCTTCTTCAACATTCTCAAACAGGTTTCAACATTTTGATCTGCCATGGTGGTGTTTTAGTGAATGAGAACCGAAAACAAATTACTTGTTAATCTTGTAACAAAGAGGCCATGCATCAACTTTCGTTTTGTTTACGCATTTGATAACCGGAAGTACTCGCTACATTAATAAATAGTATCAGACGCGCGAAAGTAATAAATTATCTCCCTTGAATGCGTCTAATAAAAAGACTACAGACCACTAATAAAAACTTGATTTTTGGGTTGGATGAGTACAGATATCTGAGAATGTACTCTTAATGTGTTTAAGTAATTAGAACCATCATGCAGCCAAAGTAATATTTATATTTATGTTTTATGACACAAATTTTTAGAGACCTATTTGCAAAAACAATGTCTGAACAATATTATTATCTAAAAGCATTTTCAGTTTTAGTCATTGTTATATTCATGAACATGGCCTTTGGATCTTGAATATATGTAAATAGTCTTCAGAAGTACTAGAAATCGCATAATTCTTTCAAAAATATCTCAAACTAGGATTTTCTTTTCCAATTTCAGTAGATGTCTTTTCTATATATGGCAGTATCTCAAGAAAAGACAAGTCGTTATTTTAACTTTCAAACACAAATAATTCTGGACACACATGGAATTCAAGGCTCAAATTTTGACGGTGAGCTGTGAACACTATTACTGATTAGATTAGCTTCAAAATTTCCTGTTTCTGAGACTACGAATGATCAAACAGATGGCAAACCTGTCCCTTTAAAATGGAACAAGTGTTAGGCTTTTGTGATACTAGACGTAAAATTTTTCTAAATTCATTTGTGATCTGCTGTAAAAGAAAATGTCAACAAAAGGAGATAAAAATATTTTATTAAGAGAAATACATGTATATTTATAAATAACAACTTATATGTGCATAAATAAATAATAGAGAATAGAGTCAACAAGTAAACAAATTATTTTATAACAATTTCTAAATCAGCAGTTTTCTAAAATATTATTTAAAAAAAATTCAGTGAATGAAAAATTTTAAAATGGCAAAAATCACTCAATGATAAAAAACAAAAGAAAAAATTTTGAACTATCACAATTTATAAAATTCACGATTTTAATTAAAATCACAATATCTTATCACAATATCAATTATAGATGATCAAATAAGCATGATTAGGAATTAGGTATAATCGCTTTAATATTTGCTTACCCAACATATAGGGCTTAATTCAGTATCACTTTTAAATATAAAAATCTGACATCTAGTTCTTCCACAATTAAACAAAAGTTTAAGGCTGATGTCAAATCCAGTATGTTTTTGATATTCCTACAGACATGATGCATATCAGTAATAAATATCAGACATTAGATTATACTTTTGATTACGTATACAGATAGCTAAGGATTAAGCTCTATCATTTGGTAAAGCAAATATTTATGCAACTAAAACCTTCAACTCAGCAAAATAGAACAGGAATTATAAATTATACATAAACACTAAATATTAAATATCATAAATTCTGGACGGACTGTTGGTTAAATATAATATCTAAAAAATATAGAATCTAAAAATATAATATCTGAATTAGATCCCAAATCAAATATCAAGGTGGATATTACTGACCCAAAAACACAACTAATAACCCAGTGAATTTCAGAAAATCAAAAACTTTAAAAACACCATACAAGGAGACTTATATTGCGACTCAACAGCGGCTTTTGTGTCAGTATCAGTAGAGTGTCCACATAGCTAATAAAAAAATTTTAATATTTCCAAAAATATAAGCAAAACGTTGTTTCAATCAAGCAATCGCCTTCATGATGCATTACCGAAATTTTCTAATACCAATGTTATTTTTGTTGAAACTTAAAATTACGTTAAAAATAAAAATTGTACATCAATTGCATTGATATAATATATAAGATATATAGATTATACATTCACTAATTAATAATATTTATAAAGAGGCACCATTTTACAGAACGAGGCAAAAATATAACTTAGCCAGTGCATTTTACCCTTGGATTTGTTCGATTACTTTTGACCATATTATTATACTGACAAGGGCAATAACTCTTTCAACAACAAGAAAAGAATCTCGTGATTGGAATGATAAACAAGATAACTGAAATTCTAAGTTAATTTCTAGAAAAGCAAAAGAATAATGTTGGAGAAAAAATAAATTTAAGTAAAGATGGCCGCCTGCATGTTTATCAGAAAAATGAGAAGATTTTTTGTACAAAATCTTGGAATGATTTTAATAAACAAAATTTTGTCTTAGTTCATATAAATATAGTAGAAAAATATAGTAGCTTCTGTTGGCCTACAGACTATTTTCAGAATTGCGTAGAATCATTTTGATAACATTACAACATCAAAAGTTTGTGGAATCAAAATTAGCTTTCGGGTACACTGAAATATTTTTTTACTAAGGCATATAAGCTTTCAGAAGCTATATTAATACTTTATAAAATGCTGTTTGAAATAAGAATTCTGATTGGTGCAAAAACTACTATAGAGGATAGTCCATCACTAGATTACATGTATTTTGATTGGTTGATATGTGACAGTGGGTGTGTCTTCAGACAGAATCTAAACTAGGTAATGTTTTCACTCCTGCAGTCTTTCTGATTGGTCCTTTCTTGGGATCTAAAATTCTCTGATCATCTGGAATATTTCTGAAACGGAAAATACAGACATTTGATTGGTCAATATTGAAATTATTTTACATCTAGTGAATATAATAAATAAACCAAGTACTTATGGTCTTAAACGCAAAATGAAACCTGAAATCCCAACAACATATTGGCAAAACATTTTAAACTTTTCAACAGATGAAACATCGATTTTGCGACTTTGATATGACTTCGTCATAAAAAAAACAATTGAATTGCTAACATAATTTTTTTGGTTTCAATAATTCGTGGTCTGTTTCAGACAAATAATTGGACAATATTTATAAATGTAACTAATCTGTGGTCGCGCTCGATTGGTGAGTTCTGAACAGATTCCGTCTGTTCCAAGTTTGCCCCCAATCGAACGAGTATGAAAGTGGTGGATATGTCACAATCAAAAATCTCCCTTCTATTTCAATCTCCGCCATTTTGAATTCATCTGCAGTTACTATTTTTTCGGCATATGTGGAACGCATTCTGAACTCTGTCCCAACTTGTATTATTGAACGTTTTGTTACATGTAATTCCATAAATCCTGAACGTGCAGAACCCACCAATCGAGCGGTCCCCATGATTAAAAGACAACTTACCCTCCATTTTCAACTCTTGGTGTCCTGTAAGTAGCATCACCAGCAGCTCTCTGTTTCTGTATCTGATATATATTACCTTTAGTAGACTGTATTTCTATCACATATTGTTTACGTTCATCATTAGCTCTATGATAGGCCTGTAATATTGAATGAAAATATTTTAACACTGGCTTAATAGGGTACAGTAATCAAAATATTAATTTTATCCAGTGCTCAATTTCAGCTATCCATATCATGTTTTGGAATTAAAATCTGACATCCCGTTTCTCTAAAATTCAACAAACATTTCAGTTCAGACTTCAATAAAACTGGAAGTCACTGAAAGTGATAAATCGGTCTGATATATTTTTGTTATATTGTTCATGAATTACATGCCAGATTTTACTTGTGAAATGATAAATTGTGGGATATCGAAGCCCAAAGAGGCTGTTGTATTGTACTTTGGAATTTGCTATCCCACAATTCTTCATATGGAAAACTTCACGTCTGTCATAGTTACCAGAATTAGATGACAAACTTAGTTCACCTCCATGTTAAAGGCGTGACTCAAGCCAAGCTACTTTTCTAAACCAAAAACATGTGATGTAAAGGAAGTAAAACGAAAGTAGCGTCAATTTCCTTCTTTGGTACAAATCTTGGGAAAATCTCTTTGACGAACATTCTTGATTATAAGACTAGAACATTACCTTGGATTCTTGATCTAAACGCCATTCTAAATCTCTTATTGAGTTTATCAAACCTAACTTCTCTTTCTCTAACTGTTTCACCAGTTGAGGATTCGCCTAAAAAAATAAATTATCAAGTAAAGGCTAGTTCCTTGGAAATGGTTTACATCAGTGGCTCAACTACCATCAGGGACTGTTCAAATCAAGTCCAATAAAAATTGAAAAAAAAATATACCAAAGTATAGAATTATAATCTAACTATGCAACCAGCAATATATAAATGATTAAAATTACATTAAAGGGACATTCCGCATTTTTTTAGAATTTTTTTTGCTCAAATTTGTGAAAACTATACACCAAAATCTAGAGAAATGTGCCCTTTAACATATCTGAAAGTTTTAACTTAAAAAATCCAACCGTTAATTTTTAAACACCAAAATATTTAAAAACATTGCATAAGGTTTTTAAGTCTGTTATGCTTTTTGGAAGCTGCTAGAAAACTACTGTATGGATTTGAGTAAAATAAATGCCTAATTGTAGACAAATATGTCTCCTACATATTCTAAAGGTTTCAACTAATAATATCGAGCTATTATAAAGCCAAACACCAAAACTAGGTCAAACTGCTTAATTAACAATTAGTCAGTTTTTAATTAACCCTTTTAAAACAAATACAGTTTGATCAAAGATACAAATAGTGTTGATATTTTAGAAATATTTTCAGGTATAATTTACAACGTTTTTGATTATAAAATTTTTTTACAAAAAAGCGGAATACCCCTTTAACTGTATATGATTAAATTTTCCAGGGGAGGTGCTTCCACTCACTTAAGTCCCATGTAAAGTTTACTGAGGACTTAAGGTGTAGGATTTAATTTACATTGTAAATCCTCAGTTCCCCACTTGTCTAGTTGAGCCACTGGATAGGCAAAGCTTTAGTTATAGTGGAGTCACAGACCTTTTTATCAAGTCCAATTTGCTGAAGAAGCAAGGCATGTATAAACTATGCATTATACAATTTAAGCATTTAAGGTGACTCATAAAATCATATGCTTACTCTTCTTTTTGTTGAGGTTCCTTTAGTTTTAATTACCTTCAAAATGAAAAATCTGGTACTATTGTGTGTGATTTGGATGCTCAGTTAATCTAATACCTTCATAAAGCAGTTTCAAGACAATAAGGGATGTTGAGTTTGAATGAGAGATAACAGTCATGTCTGACTTAAACTACTAAATGTTTGACTTTGAATTTGTTCATTTAATTGGTTTTTTTTTTCAAATCCATCTAGAAATTTGGAATACCTAATTTACGCTCAAATGTCTTGTGTAAAAAGTCCATAAAATAATAATCCTACTTACGTCTGCTAGATCTATAAATAGCTGTCCTTCTTGTGGAGTCTTGCCAGCTGGAAATACAAAATAAAATCATCTTACTTTATAGGCTGGTAAAGCGACTAATTAAAGGGACAGTACCACCATTTTGGTGGGTTGACTTGAATATATGTAAATAGTCTTCAGAAGAACTAGAAATGAATGAAAATCACATAATTCCTTCAAAAATACTTCTTATTAGGAATTTTACTCACTTTTTATAATCACTGAGTATCTTAAATTGAAGAGCCATCATATTAACATATAAACGCAGATAATTCTGGATACACGTGGATTTGAAGGCTCAAATTTCGACGGTTAGCTGTGAACACTATTATTGAATGGTGTAGCTAAAAAAATTCATGTTTCTGAGACTATGGTACGATTGGTCAAAAAATGGTGCATCTGTCCCTTTAAAACTTCACTTTCTAGTTTACTAAACCTAACCTAGACATTCTGACTTCTTACATTATATTTCTTAATTACTTCATATAATCCACATTCATACCAATATTTATCATTTCCATAATGTAAGCTTATGCTAATCTTTAGCTAGTTTGAACAAGTCATTGTACAAATAAATTATTTTGTTATTGAAAGTTTATATCTAAAAATAACTTCTTTTTAGAGTCATTGTTCATAATTTTTTTGCTTTTTTTTTTTCGGAAAAAAAATAACAAGCAGTTGCTTCTTGAAGCAAGATATCTTGGAGATGTAAACCTAAACACAAAATTTTAAGATAGCCTTGATTGTAAGTATCAATCATTGTTTGTAGCCTGTAGAGTGAACACAAGCCAAGTGTGAACGGACGTTCGACAATGCTTCCATATTATGTGTGAGCATATAAAAATCAAAAGAATCCATAAACAATTGTTGCTTGAAGAGTGAGCAAAACTTGTCCTATAAGCTTATGGCTAATAGAGTCAATACACGAAGTTGAAAACAACAGTTTGGTGAAAAATTATCAGATCATCCTAAAAATCCATAGGGATCATCTTCATACTGACATTGACCCACAAAATAAAAATCAAAAGAATCTGTACAGAATTGTAGCCTGTAGATGGAGCACAAGCTCATGTGGGCGTAAAATAAAAATGTACATTTCATTGGCTAAACTGACATAAATGTGAGCTTATTTTGTTCTGTGCTTTTAATGCCTCATGGTATTGCAGGAACCACAGACATCGGAATGAAAATTGATATGGTGCAAATTGATCCTATGAGTGTCCCCAATCCACATAAAAAGTTAAGAAAACCTTTTTACAATCCCTTTAATAAGAATAAGACATACCGTCCTTTAAGTTTTTCTTCGATTCTTCCACCTTATTCTCTAACATCAATATCTGTCTCTCTAACTGTTGATTCATCTCTGTCTGAGTTTCAAATCTAGTTTTCCATTCATTTCCTACAAAAATTATAATATAACATCATGAAATGTGAAGAAATAAGAGCAATTCTTCCATTGTGACAAGTTTAATTCAATAAGCAAGTTGATCTTCAGCTCTGAAGGGGACCAAAACATTGAATCAGATTCCACTCACTTATTTTACTTCACCAATACAAAAAAAACTTATAGAATAAGCTTACTATCCAATTGTTTCAGAACAATATTAAGAAAGACAATATCAAGATAGAAGAACAAAATCATACAAAACAATGTCATACAAAACTACAAAACAATATCATACAAAACTACAAAACAATATCATACAAAACTACAAAACAATATCATACAAAACTACAAAACAATATCATACAAAACTACAAAACAATATCATACAAAACTACAAAACAATGTCATACAAAACTACAAAACAATATCATACAAAACTACAAAACAATATCATACAAAACTACAAAACAATATCATACAAAACTACAAAACAATATCATACAAAACTACAAAACAATATCATACAAAACAATATCAAACAAGAAAAGAACAAGGGAGAACAACATCAAGAAAGAAATTTACAAAAACCAAGCAAAATATCGTATAAGAAGACTGATCAATATCAAGTCTGAATAACAATATTAATCAGAAGAATGATATCAAATTTGAAGAACAATATTAATCAGAAGAATGACATCAAATATGAAGGGCAATATCAAACATGAAGAAAAATTAATATCAAACACAAAGAACAATATCAGAAGAACAATATGAAGAAGAACAATATCTTAATGGAAAACAATATCATCAACAAGAAGATCTTTATATCAAACTAGAAGATCTTTATATCAAACAACAAGAATTTTATATCAACCAACAAGAATTTTATATCAAACAACAAGAATTTTATATCAAACAACAAGAATTTTATATCAAACAACAAGAATTTTATATCAAACAACAAGAATTTTATATCAAACAACAAGAATTTTATATCAAACAACAAGAATTTTATATCAAACAACAAGAATTTTATATCAACCAACAAGAATTTTATATCAAACAACAAGAATTTTATATCAAACAACAAGAATTTTATATCAAACAACAAGAATTTTATATCAAACAACAAGAATTTTATATCAAACAACAAGACTTTTATATCAAACAACAAGAATTTTATATCAAACAACAAGAATTTTATATCAAACAACAAGAATTTTATATCAAACAACAAGAATTTTATATCAAACAACAAGAATTTTATATCAAACAACAAGACTTTTATATCAAACAACAAGACTTTTATATCAAACCAAAAAGAACGATATCAAATAAGAAAAAATGATATCAAAAAGAACAATTACAATATCAAGTAAATATCCAGAATTAGAATTTTAAAACAATCTCTATAAATGATATCTACCAATAGGAACAAGAATAACAATAATACAAAGATCACAAGGGATATTATCAACTAAAAGGAACAACATCAAGACTGAAAGCAGACACACAAAAGTAACCAAAATGAAAATAGTAAGAATAATGCTGATAAATACATAAATTAATACACTGAAATGAAGATATAGAGATTAATATTTTACCAGAGGCATATTCATTTTCTTCATCTGAAATTTAATTTTCGTAATTTGTTATGATATGATTAAAAAGGGATAGAAACGCCAATTTGTGGGGTTGATTTGAATAGTCTTCAGAAGTACTAGAAATGAATCACAGATGTCTGACTGAAATTTGGAATAGTGCACATGAAAAATTCAGAAAACCTCTTTACAATCCCTTTAAGACAAGCAATTACCTATAGTATTTTTTAAATGAATGCCTGTGTGAATTGCAGAGTTTTGACTTTTAAACTTACCTTCATTTTCAATAGCATCAAATCTTTTCTCCAATTCTTCAACAGTGGTTTTCAGTTCATCAGCTGACTGCTCTAGCATCTCCCTAAATAAAATTAAGCGTCACAATTACAGGGGGTCAATGTGGCCACTCACTCAGGACTAGGGGTCAAAGTTGATGGGTACATATTTCAAGAGCATTTAGACCGAAAAAATCTGTCTCTATTCCAGCCTCTGATAGCTATTTCGACAAATGTCAGCTGGTGTAGAGACAGAAAAAATAGGCCCTGTTAGATGGAAAAATTCCACATCTCTGCAGGTCCGGGAATTTTAAACCTACTTAGCTACCTGGAGGTGTGGAAAAACACCATTAAACAGGGCTTTATTCTTCTGACTCTACTCTAGCCAACATCTGTCAAACTATCCATCAGAGGCTGGATTAGAGGCAGATGTTTCGGAATAGTGGCTGAGGTGTCTTGCAAAAGAATTATTTCCCTTCTTTCGCCTCAGGATAGACAATGTTGATTTAACATGGCAGTCTTTGGAAAAGGATTTTGTACAAGGATTTACAACATTCACAATCGAGAATGACAAAACTTGCTTAAGACAACGTTATAAATGATTAATGGATATCTGTCAATGTAGTTAACACTTTATATGAAAGCTTTTTCCAACGCTGGTCTTAGACTGCCATCTTAAATTGACATTGTTTATCCCAAGGTGGAAGAAGGTAATCGTGTTGCTTGACCAATGACAGTGTTAGTGGATCAACTAGATCTAAATCTTACTTTTAGCAGAGAAAAAAGGGTGAGAAATAGAACAATTGTAAATCATAATTACAAAGGATAGGGTAATGAAAAGGATGACAAAATAACACGATGCAGCAAAACTGTCATGACATAATAATCTTCAGATTAACTTTTTTTTACACTTTTGGTGTAATAAGCTCTCCATAATAATATTGAAGAAGGCGATCGCGAGGAGAGTTTTACAGGTGCGCGAACGCCACGTGAGCGATTCTAGGTCGATATAGGGGTAGAATGAGTCGTCTGATTTCTAGCGTAACATTTAGGACACATTTTCTTACTTCATTTGACGCTCTTGATTAATTTCCGAGCGAATTTTATCCAATTCATATTCCTCAACCAAGTCGACCGCCATCTTGACACAATGTAAACGTTGCTATGTATGAATGACGTACGGGAAATCCGTTTGTGAAAACGAGGCGGAAAAGCCCTCGAGGCACGTGACTTGTTTATTTTTATCACTGTGATTTATTGATACATAGAGCGATATAAATGAATTCACAATAAAAGAAAATACATGTATTATTTACTGATAAAACCCATTAATCTATTTACTTTATTGACCAATTAGTAGGATATCAAATTCACATTTTATGGCCTATGGTCGTGCACAAGATTGTTTGGGGTTTGTTCTTTTTAAAATGCATTTTCCGTATCCAGGAACAAAATAAAACATAAATCATCAACTGAAAAATTCCTCAGATGAAGTAAGGCGAGCCTTTTCAATATTCCGAAAAAAGAACATCTTGATTGAAGTGCCCATCAAGAAACGGGCCACGATCATTTTTATGATTAAAAAAAAACCTTATATATTTGATGTAAATTCGCGTAAACATTGATGTATGCTACTTACCCATTCTTCTGAGAACTTTAATGAAAAAGAAGAATAACAAATATGAGTTTGAAGAAAAATGAATGTGGGCACATAGGCTATTAACGTTACTTCACTTATCCGAGATCTGACAACATTCCTATATAAATAAAGTTTTATCTGACTCTGCACGCATGTTTAACCTCTGCTAGAATTCGGAAAGAGAGAATAGGCCTGTGCCTTGCTCTAGATAAAAAGACCATGAGCCAGGTAGGTCACTTTGATAAGAAATTTGGAAGGTCCGAAAGGTCTTAAATTGGCCACTTTTAGTAAACTTTATTAATTCTTATTGGACACTTTAGGTTGTATTAATTCACCAATTCATTATGCCAAAAAAAATCTTATGGACAAAATGATTTTTTTTTAAATATTTTTAAAGTAATTCATTTCATTAAAATTTTTATTATCTATATTTGAATGTAATAGCTCGTAAGGGTGCTCCGATTAGTAAACAAACTTCTATTCCATAGACGAATAAAGGTGCAAGAGACCGGTGTGGGATTATCGATACAGTAGAAAAAACGAATCGTATCTGCACCGTGTCCGGACCCGTACCTCCGTGTGTTCACTTCTTCTGTTTTCGTTTGTAGCGATAATCCCGCACGGCCGCACCGGATACCGTACCTCGTCTATTCGCGGCTTAATGTGCAATAATATGCATCTAATCAAATTGAGTATTGTCAAGCCCAGTATGACATGTCTATGAATTTCTTAAATGGTTATCCCATTGACAACTCCTTGGTTATTCCGCTTTAAAGACCTGTTGTTTAATGATTACCTATCTTGTGATGTAGTATATCCATAACCAGAGTAGCCATATTGGTTATTTCCATCTTCACTTTCTTTACCGTCATTATCACTCCTACAAAACATTGATAAAGTTTAAGTCAAGGAATCTGCCGCGGCTGCACAGAGATTTTCGGCTGTCAATTAAAAACAATTGAGTATCCGGCGCAGTGAACTCGAATAAGGCGCTAAATTTGGTAAATATGAAAACCTGGCAAGTAAAGAAAAATAAGCAACTGTAAAATTCGCGGATAGATCAGATTCTGATATCTGAGATTACCCGAATCTCACCTAGTTATGAGATTTTTGCTCGAAAAAATGGTTTTGGGGCTGCGAGGGGGCCCTCTGATTCTAAGCACACAATTTGACAGTCAGCTGCTGTTAACACTATTACTGATTGGCTTAGCTAAAAGAAATTCCCGTTTCTGATTGGTCCCAAAAATGGCGCCCTACTGATTTTCTTATTAAAATTATTTGAAGCATGACATTTTATTTTGGGACCTGAGATGGAAATTTGGTTTTGGATCGGCAAACATATTTTGCTTCATGGTGACTGTAGGACTACCTACCCTTTTTGTTCGATGTTATTGTTTTGTTTGTTAATATAAAGGCTATCACGGGCAACAAGATGTGGTCTCTCCAGACTGTCCTCTCTTATATCGTCATCACGGTTTTTTGCTTGTTGCTGAGAATTGTCTACTTCCGGTTTTTTATGATCGTCTGGTAAATACAAACTGTCCACACTGTACCGACCATCATGGCTTCTAGGACGAGATGGTGGTCGTGGAGGGAAAGATCCCGTAACTGGACACTGATTTTTATTTTCTGTTGTGGCTTCTTTGCTTTGGCGACTCGGAACGTTCCTATCAAGACTTTGGGGTCCTTTTTGGAACTCTCTTTTTTGTTTTCCATCCGTTGATGCATTAATTTCCTGTGAATATTTGGATACCTTAAATCTTCTCACTGGGACTCTGCTTCTACCCCTGAAGCTGTTGGACTGTTTCAATTTTCGTTGTTCAGTAGATCTTAAAATAAAGGTATTTTGTAACTAAAAAAGGGATTTTAGAGCGAAGTTTTCAGATCTTATTTTTATGATCCACTTCATGAATGTATGACAATTTGTCACAGAAGACCAGTGACTCAACTACTACAGGAAACTTGTTGAACCAATTCCATGCCACCACCCCCAAAAATGGCACAGACTGAAAATCTTTAAATTTCCATTCCATTACCAACAAACACGAAATTGACTTTCAGAGAGGTCTCAGAATGCAGCAGAGCATAATGTTCAAAAAGAAAATTCCAGGGGGAGGGCCTCAACCCAGTTAAGTTACCCCCCCCCCCCCCCACCCCCTCCCTCATGATTAACTGTAGAAAACATGGTCACACCCCCAATTCCTTTTGGATTATGGGAAGACCGACCAACAAGCGAGCACAAAGAACTAGGATCAATGTTTTTAGGTTCGCTTACGACTTTTCAGTAGATGGTAATGCTTCATCTTTCGATGGAAATCGTTGACTTCTTCTGACGCTTGTACTTTTCTTTACACTGGTGGACGCTTTTTGCTCCCTGAAATAACGAAATCGTCATGGAAACAGTCAAAACAAAAACAAACAAATCGTCTCGTTTAAATACACCTCGAAATATTTGCTTTCTAGATTCGTGACTGTTTCACGTGCAACTTTTCTCCCTTATAATTGAAGAGTTCCTTACCTTTCATTTTTCTTTTGAAAAATATTTTCGTTATCTGGGAATCGTTCACTCCTTCGTCTGTCGTTAAGGTTTCTCTCTGGGCTTCCCTCACTCCTTTGAGCTCTGGCACTCATCTGAGGACTTCCATCACTTCTTTTTGCAGTAGCACTCTGTTGAGGACTCCTCCGTCCATTAATTGCGCTCGCATTTTGTTGTGGACGTCCTTGATTATTCGTTGCAGAGGTGTCCCGTTGAGGACTTCCCTCTCTTTCTGTCGTTTGCTGTTCTTCTCTTGCCTTTTCACTGAATATGAAAATCAGAACATAAAAGTATATAATCGGCGAGAATTAATAATAATATTCACCAAAGTGAAAATTTTCACCCATCACAAAATATAACCATAACTTCTAACACACGAGTTTTAAGCCTTCGGAAGTCGAAAAGAGACATTTTTGGTTCGGCAATATGCTAGTATGCCCTGGGTTTACATGGACTTTACCACAGTGGTGTTTCTAAAAAGTGTGGGGGGGGGGGAGCCTCTTTTCTGGGAAGGAGGGAAGGGGGGAAGGTGGGTTATGGACACCTGGCCCCACCGTAGAAATGCCACTGCTCTACCATCAATGGAAAACATCTTTCATACACATCAATTTCTCTCAACTCACTTGTCAACGTGGTTCGCTAATAAATTCGTATTATCAGGAAATCTTTCACTTCTTCTTCGTTCCTTCACATTTCCTTCAGGACTTCCTGCTCTGAGCAAGGGACTTCCTCTACTTTTTAACGCTTGAAGTCTTCTTTCCAAAACATCTTCACTAAAAACCAAACGATATTATTTAAAGATGGATTTCGTCATTTTTAAAACTATTTGATTAATTGGTGTTTCTAATGAATTATCATGTATTTTTAATCATATCAGTATGTTCTAATTGCATATGATTAAGAATGTTAGCCAATCATAAATGTCCATGTATGTTATACTGTCTAATAACTGTGTAATAATAAGTTTTATCCTTTAAGCCTACCACTTAAGACTTAACTTTCACTACCATACCCTTAAAAAAGCACAATGTACCAGATCTCACGACAAATTCAACAAAATTAAAACGTAATTAACAGCCAATGAAAGTCGATACTCACGTTTGATCTCGATTTTCTTCCACTTCGTTTGAATTTCTGCCATTGCTTCTACAATTAATTATTGACATCAACATAACATAGAGAATTATGTTCCAGAATTATGTTCCAGAATGTTTAAAGGGAAATCTGGGAAAATCTTTTGACCAATCATACTTAAGTCTCAGAAACGTGAATTTTTTACCTAAGAAAATCAGTAATAGTGTTCACAGCTCACCATCGAAATTTGAGTCTCAAATCCATGTATGTCCAGAATTATCCAAGTTTGAATGTTCGAATGTTAAGATGACGACTCGTCATTTTAAGATACTGTGTGATATATAGGAAAGACATACATAGAAATAGTGAGTAAAATTCCTAGTTTGAAGTTTTTTAAAGGAATTATGCGATTTTCTTACATTTCTAGAAGGCTATTTACATATATTCAACACTAAAATCACTCCAGGAAAAAAATGGCACAACTGTCCTTTTTAGTTTAAGTTACAAAATACAATTCCATTATACAAATACAATTGTTTGTGTAAAAGCAAACAATATACAGATAGAAGTTTACGAAATATAAATGTAAAGTCCCACAAGCTTATACTCACATTTCACCATTGTCTTCTTCTTTTCCCGAACTATCACCAGGCGTAGTTATCTTCAATCTATAATGGAATCTCACGTTTATCACTTTTTTTCACATTCAAATTGGTTAAGAAGTGATATAAACTGAAATTATCTTGACTGCAAAAGCCACCTTTCTTGTATTACGGAGGTTTGTAAACGCGGCGATTTGGTTGGATTGTACAATAGCTAACACAGCTAATCCTCGTCAGAAAGTCTGTATACAATAAGTAATGATATTTACAGTCTATCTGTCGGAGGCTATAATTGGCTGTATTCGCTTGCGTGCAATTCAATCAAATCGCTGCATTCCGTATAACAAAAAGGTGGCTATTGCTATCAAGGTATAAAACGAAGATGTCTGAACCCAAGAAGATATCAGCATCCGCTGGAAGCGAACGTTAACTTGTCATCTACCTACCTACCCAAGAAGAGGTTATTGTGAATTGTTTAAAGTTCTATAATACCAGTATTCATTATACTTACATATCAACTTGATGGTTTCCCGAATTCTCACAATTATTCTCATCATATTCATTGATGATTCTGAAAAAAATACACCGAATTTGAAATTCAAATTGAAATTGAAATGAAAATTAAATTTTGAAATAAAATCAAATTAACTTGAAATTTTATCAAATTAAATTTGATAATCATTATATACATTATGTTTTAATTTCAATATTTAAATTAATGTTGATTTGGAAACCAAAAGTACTGACCTATCACCGTTCAAATCTCCATTTACCTCAGTATCTCCGTTTTGGATTCCATGTCTACAAAGAAAGTTATGAATTATGTTACAATGTTAGTGGAGCAACTGGTAAAAGGATTTTGATGCTCATGTGCTGCATCTTTAAAGGAATACTAAGTCTTAGAATAAACATAAAATTTAAGAATTTTTAACTTGGTCAATAAGAGTATATATTCATCAGTAGATATACCTGGTATCATAAATAACATAACAGGATCCTTATATAAGGTGATGAATTTTAAAAAAACTCCATAAAAATGCAACTATTGAAAAACGCTTAATATTAAGATTAAGCGTTTTTCAATAATTACTTAGTTTTATGAATTTTCCAATTTTCAAGATTTTACAGGGATTCTGTTGTAACTTTATGACACTAGGTAACTTCACTAATGAATATATATACTCATATTGACCATTCTTGAGAACTTAAATTTTATGTTCATTCACACTTTAATAACGCTGGCCCTATCACGTATCACAAAACCGATTATAACACTGGGCAGAGCTAGAGTTGTCGGTTATTGATCACTCTTTGATTGCATATATTGGTGAAATATTGTAACCTTAGTTTCCTACCTTTGTCTATTATCTAAACTATCTTCTAAATCTATCAGCTCATCAGTTGGTCTGAAAACATTCAATTACACAGAATGTTAATTTGTTGAAGATTCTTACACAACGACCAGTGGCGTTTCTGGGAAACATTAGCTTAGGAGGCAAGCAGAAGCCACAAAACACTCCCTGCCCCCACCCCTCCCCCCTTGAGCCCCTGTTTCTAATCCTAGAATACAATGGTCCCATTGGGTGTTACAGTGAACTATGCCAGTGATTCAGGCTGTTAAAAATATAGTTAAGACAAAAAAATTACCTTTCTATTCCGTTTTCATAGCCCCGCTCAGACCTGAATAAAATTTCATACTATTTGATAATATTATGTAGGATCATAAGGATAGAAAAGAAAGGTGTAATAAATTCACAAGGTAAATTGGTCATACGGTAAATTGGTCACAAAGTAATTTGATCCCAACGTAAATTGGTCACAAAGTAATTTGATCACAACGTAAATTGGTCACAAAGTAATTTTATCACATGGTTAATTGGTCACAATAATTTGATCTCAGGGTAAATTGGTCACAATTATTTGATCACAAGATATGATAGTAGCGTGATGACCAACTTGACCTGTGACCATATTACTGTGGCCAATTTACCTGGTGACCATTTTACTGTGACCAAATTTCAGGCGAAGCAAATAACCCTCCCCACCCCCTCCCAATCGTTATTACGGGTACATCACGCCCATCCTCAGGAGGTCAAAAACTTCCCTATATTTCACCCTTCTTTCAGGATATAAAGTCAGGTTCCCCTGGGATTTGGAACATATTGACAAACAATTAATTCTATTACTCGATAACAGTACATGCAATAATTCAATTCAAAATTCTATTTCAACTTCATTTCTAAAGTGCATACAAAATGATCTTCTTAATGTGTACTTCACTTTGCGAGGCAAGGAAACAAACGTCCGCGACAGCAATTGAATTTTTTTTTTGACTTGATGCCTCAACAATATTTTAAAATCAGATTAAAACATAATTTCATCCAATTCCGACCGCCCTAGAGAGATCAGATGATATGGGTGCCGACATTATACGCCCACACAATGAGAAATGGGCATAAGAAAGAAAGAAGAATAGTTTACAAGGATAAGTGATTTTGACTTGGTCCTTGGCCAAACTTCTTGACATTGCTCTTTCCTTGATTATCGGCAGCAATTTACAGCTGGGTCGACTAGAAAATTAGGAAATCCGACTTATTCAAAGGTACCAGGCTTTCACATGCCGACCGAGATTTGAACCCACGACCACCATTGGCCAGTTTCCAACACTTTACCGACATAGAACCCCTCAAAGGTATCAATAGTTGCAATATATGCAATTAATACTTACAAGTGTGATGAACATCTTTCTAAATCTTCTTCATCATCCAATACTCTACTGCTTTTAACACTGTAAAGAAAAACGGTACATTGTTATACAGTTGTTTCAACTGCGGTAAAAAGGGAAATGGTCTTATTATATACCGTACCAGCTGATAACACTAAATTTCGGCTGTACGTGTCACTATTTAAAATAAATATCTGGCGTCATACCGGGGAAGATTAGACAAAATAAATATCACTTCCAGTTATTTTTAGCAAGAACTGTCTACAGTTCAAAATTTAAAAGTACGTTTGCAAACTACCAGAGATAAAAAGAAGGGGGTGGGGGGGGGGGGCCGCCACCGCTTCTGAGGCCCTCTCGAAAACTTTATCAAGATAAGATTCCGATTTTAAGAATACGGTAATCTGATTGGATGATAAAACTTAATTCAAAATCAAGTTTAGTGACTGACCAATCAGCTGACTGGAACACAAAACATTATTGAGTTTTCGAGAATAACGCTGTCCGATACAAACAACGATTGCCATTTCTGATTTCAGAACAAAAACACTGTTGTCCCAAGCACCAAGTATTAGTTAGCTAGATGGACATGACGATTTTAGTATGGAATGGTAAACTGACCTGTACATGGATAAAGTCGTATAATTTCTGGTTCCTGATTTTGCAGAGAATCTGGACCTATATAGTGATAAAATACATTGAATGAAAATATCAACAACAAATTTAAGCTTTTTGGACTCTTCAAAAGGAATAAAATCACATATATAATCTTATACAGAGCTTAATAATCTCTTATACAAAGCTTAATAATCTCTTATACAGAGCTTAATAATCTCTTATACAGAGCGTGATAATCTCTTATACAGAGCTTAATAATCTCTTATACAGAGCTTATACTTTGTTAAGGGGAGGGGGGGGGGGGACTCCCGAATATACAGCGCAACGGGTGGAATATTTTAAGGGATACAGTCCTTTAATTATACAAGATCTGATTAGAATCATGCATGTCTCTTTTAAGAATTGGAATCTGAGTTCGTGCTCGCACTAATATAATCATAAACGCTTTGCTATAATAAAAGTGATATTGTTTAGATTCAATATCTTTTAAAATCAGATCATCCCATCGATATTTTCTCCAATATCGTAGTTCGATATAATGTAATTGTTGACGAATTATGCGTCGTTTATACTGTATGACAAGCGATATGAATAGCATTATGCGATAGAACTCATCTGAATAGGAATATAACTTTACCTGATATACTCTGGTCCATCATATCTGTCTTCATCTTCTTCAAAACTATACCCTTTACTGTTGAAAAAATATGTAACAAAATCAAAATTTGAAGATGCGTTTATCAGAGGCTATGATCCATCATCTAGATGGAGGACAACCAAATCGTCTAGAAAGCGAGGAAGCGGGGTGGGGGGGCTTTGGCTCACTGTATCCTATGAAAACAGGACTTTCAAAATCAGACACAATGTAATCGTGTATAGGTTATTTAAATTTCTGAATATTGCTGTGGTCTGAAGCTTATGGTTTCTCATAAGTAAACTTTCTACCAATCAAAATCAATGACGAGATTATGGGATTGATCATTATCATCGTACCTTGCTAAAGGTAAATGGAGCCCAACCAAACTTTCTTATCCCACCAATATAAATTTGTTTCCTGACAATACCGGGGATCAACTACAACACCACCTAGTGAAAATAGTACCGTTGTCTTCTACTTACCCTCTAGATTGTGATGTTCGTGGATTATCCTCAGGGTCAAATGGACCAAACCTTGCTCTATAAAAGAAATTGGCACTGGAAATAATAAATTTAAGAGACTCAAACTGGTAGAATAATCGTCTAACTAGTCAGTCATTTTGCCACCTGGTATATTGCAATATACCTGAATAAGATTCGGGCCATCTTCCCGAGATGATCCAAATTTGTCGCGATTGCATTAACAGCATCAAGTTGCTTGTTAAAAATGAAATTCTCGACTTCAACAAATGTGAATGTTATATGATTATCAAATGGTATCAGAGATTTTGCTATTTTATTAGATAAAAATTTCAACTAATTTCTGGATAATTGTCCTTGGAGCCTCATTTTACTATATCTCAAACTTCACATATTGCTATTGCGCAAAGAGGTTTTCTTTTTTATGTATATCGGTGACACTGCTTCAATTAGCAACATTCCAATTTTCAATCAGATGTCTGTTCTGTAATTTCACTCAAACAAAGCGTCTGAAGACGTCTGCTGTTCCTGCAATTCCACTCAAACAAAGCGTCTGAAGACGTCACTAATCGCGAAGGACCTTATTTGATAAAGCATAGGCCTATCATTTTTGGATTAGCGACGTCATCAAAAACTTATTTTTGTGGAATTGCAGGAACAACAGGCGCCTGCGCAGAAAATTGGAATGTTGCAATCAATGTTCTCGATATACATAATACATAATTTTTTTTACAAAACATCTTGACCTCTCTTTAACTTTAGTCTGTCGATTAAAAAAAAATTAGATCAAATAAAATTCACGGATAAATTTCCCTTGAGGTTTAAAACACAACAAAGATAAAGAGGATGTTTTAGCAGTATGTAAACAAATAAAATAGATTTGAAGAGAATAATCGAAGTTTATGTCACATCAGACCTATAGATCAATACTCTAGTCTCATTCACCAGGTCATTCACACAAAAAGCATTAAGCTTAAAGAGGTTTTCTAAATTGTTTAGGTGTATCGGGACACTGTTGCACATCTATGTGGTTCTTACAATTCCACTCAAAACTAACGCGTTTTATGACGTCACTAGAGGGGGGCTATCGGAAGCTACTATTGTTATCTATGCAATTCCCCTCTAGTGACCTCATAAAACGCGTTAGTTTTGGTGGAATAGCAAGATTTTATGGTCAGGAAAG